AGAAAACAAACACTGTGCACAGGGCTTGGCTTTAGACCTAATTTAGCTGAGCAGAACATCACACGTGTTTGTGTACGCATATGTGGTTTGTGCGTGTTTGTGTGTGCCAAGTGTGCGACACTTTCAAAGCCTCAGGGAAATGATTATTGTGCAGTTGTTGCCACCCTCTCCCTTAGAGACACTGCCAGTTATAAAACACAGCATTAGCACAGATACACAAAGGACTAGCTGCTGTTTGACTCATTCAGATTTCCTGAACAGAAAATCATTACAACTTTAATACTGTCCACTTATCACAAATTTTTATTCATGAAAAAGTCTGTAATCCTTCAAGCATTTTAAGTACTTCATTATACATTTTAAATACTTAAATATATATATATATATATATATATATATATATATGTATATGTATATGTACAGTGGGGCAAAAAAGTATTTAGTCAGCCACCAATTGTGCAAGTTCTCCCACTTAAAAAGATGTTTTTTTCCCCCACTGTATATGTATATATATATATATATATACACACACACAACTGTCCATAAGTTGATTATCCTAAAAAAATGAGTGTTTATCAGGAAACCTGTTTTAAACAATCATTATTTTTGTAATAAAGAGGCACAGAAATGAATGCAGCTGTATATTATCTTATGGGTTAGTTCACACAGAAATTACGATTTTGTTTTACACACACTCATGTCCATATCTATTTTCCAGATCCATATGTTTTAAATTTTTCAGTGGAATGCAAATTCACTTTTAGCAGGGGACAGTTGTGGCCTAAAGGTTAGAGAGTTATAACCCGAAGGTCGTGGGTTTGAGTCTCAGTACCGGCAGGAATTGTAGGTGGGGGGAGTGAATGAACAGTAGTCTTTTCCACCTTTAGTACACATGACTGAGGTGCTCTTTAGCAAGGCAAAGAACCTCCGATTGCTCCCCTGGCTCATTTTTCTTCAGTTAAAGCTTCTAGTGATCAGAGGCAAAACTAGTTGTGTAAATGAGCACTAACTTACATCAGTAAACTCATGAAGAGTAATTGGTATAAAATTCACCAATGCAGAGCAGTGTGAGATGTTTCATTAGCACTTTTTCACTGCTTGTGCATGTCAACTTTCTTTTAGCACACAAAAACTTTTTTTTTTTTGACTAATTTTTATTGTTAGTCAATGTAGTTTATATTTATTGCCCTTGAATTCTTAGATGCAGTTCTTGAATATTATGTGCATATTTAAATACACTGTTTATTATATGAAAATGGTATTTATTTCAGTTCACAGTAAAAATGAATACATAATTATAATAAAACAGAAAAGCACAGGTTTTCAATAATTGATTGCAAATTTGAAGGTGTATTCCATTATACACACACACACACACATATATATATATATATATATATATATATATATATATATATAAATTCTCAGAATTGTGACTTTGTCTCGCAATTATGACTTTTTAACTCGCAATTGCTAGTTTATATCATGCAATTCTGCGAAAAAAAGTCATATATTATGGAAGCCCGTTTCCGCCACTGAATAATAAAGAAAAAAAGGTAATTGCGGCTTTTTATCTCACAATTCTGACTTTTTTTCACAGAATTGAGATATAAACTCGCAATTGCTAGTTATAAAGTCAGAATTGCGAGATATAAAGGCAGTCTTTTTTTCTCGCAATTGCGAGTTTATATTTCGCGATTCTGACTTTTTTTTCTCAGAATTGTGAGATATAAACTCGCAATTGCGAGTTATAGAGTCAGAATTGCGTGATATAAACTCGCAATTGTGAGTTAAAGTCCGATTTTGAGGGGGGGGGAAACACTGATATGTTCTCAGAATTGCGAGTTTATATCTCACAATTCGGACTTTTTTTCTCGCAATTGCGAGTTTATATCTTGCAATTCTGACTTTATTTCTCAGAATTGCGACTTTGTCTTTTTTCTGAGAAAAAAAGTCCAAATTGTGTTATAAAAAGTCACAATTACCTCTTTTATGTTCTATTCAGTGGCGGAAACGGGCTTCCATAATAAATATATACATTTTTTTTATTTTTAATGTGGTTTCACATTACTGCCTGGAGAGTCCACTTAATGGGCCACTTCAACACTCTTAAAAATAAAGGTGCTTCAAAAGGTTCTTCAAGCAATGCCATAGAAGAACCAATTTTGGGTCCACAAATAACCATTCAGTCAAAGGTTCTTTAAAGAACCATCTCTTTCTTACCTTTTTGTAATCTGAAGAACCTTCTTTCACCACAAAGAACCTTTTGTGAAACAGAAAGGTTCTTCAGATGTCAAAGGTTCTCTATGGAACCATTTAGACAAAAAGGTTCTTCTATGGTAGAGTGAAGTTCTGCCTTCAGAAGAAATTATGTAACTGAAGTTTAAGTTACAAGTTACTAAACTTACTAGTAGGAGTATAAGTATTTCGGCAACGTTTCTATGAGCCAGCAAGCTCCAAAAAAAAACGTAAGATATTTGTGTTTCTATGGGTGCTTCTCAATATCCCTCCTCATTTTCTCGCTTCTCCATTCTCCACCCTACGACCCGGAAACCGATCGAGCTCAGCCATCTTGTAGGACATCTCAATTTTCGAACTGCTCCGCGAGGTGAGGAGGCTTCCTGAGGATATTCCATGAGCAAGGATACACAGGTGTAGCGTCTGGAACACTCCAACACACAATATATAT